GGGCCCGGCCACGGCCCAGGCGCCAGCACCACCACCGCCCGCCGCCTGGGGGCCCTCAGGTGAGTGTCCTCCCCCTCCAGAGGCGGTGGATTGGGGGTCGCGGGTGGCCTGCTTGCTTCTCAGACGATGGTGGGCAAGGAGGTGGGTTGTGGAGGCCCAGAATCACCTGGTCATGTGGCTACATCCTGGATTCTTCCTGGCCACCCCCCACCCCAGGCCATACCCATGTGGGGTCATGGGTGCTTTGTTAAGGGTGTACCTGGGTGTAGAACCAACCCTGCCTCAGGTTGGCCTGCTGTATGGGTGGATGTGCAAGAAAGGGTGGCTCTCTTATCCAACATCCCTCAGGGTTCCTGAGAGGTACTGGGCTCCCTGACTACAGGGACAATCCCGTGTCTCCTGCACATCTGGATGGTGTGTGTGGGGGGGAGGTTTGTGTGTGGACCGGGTACTGGCTGAGTAGTGGGCACAGGGCACTGGAGCTGGCTTGAGGCCCCCCAGAGGGTCTGACGCAGCAGGCCTGAGCTGCTGAGCAGCAGCAGGCCGGGTGGGGTGGGGGTGGGGGATGCTGCAGGAAGCGGTTTGGAGTAGAGGGGGTGGCAGGTGAGAACGTGTGACCCAGGGGATGCGTGGGCTCCAGCCTGCTAGTGACTGGGTGGTTCAGAAAGTGTAGGACACTCCCTGGGACAAGAATAGGTGTGGGCGGGTGTGTGTCCAGGGCCAGCTGTGGGTGAGGTATGTGAAATCAGTGTATTTGCCCACTAGCTGGACAGGGAGAAAGCTTGCATGTCAGCAGCCCCCTAGAGTCATCCCAGCACCCAGCTCCTAGAATTGCCCAGAGCAGACGTTGGACACGGGAGGTGGAAAGAACTCCCAGCTGCACTCAGCCTGACACCTGACTGTGATGTCCCCCAGGTGCCCCCAGCGTTGCCGCAGGAAGGAAATGGGCTCAGCGCCCGAGTGGATGAGGGTGTGGAAGAATTCTTCTCCAAAAGGCTGATCCAGCAGGATCGCCTGTGAGTGAGGGGCAGTTGCAGGGTGGGAGTGGGTGGGCTGCTGCATGGGCCTTCCTGCTTACTGTTTGTTGGCTGTTCCCACAGCTGGGCCCCTGAGGAGGACCCAGCCACCGAGGCTGGTGCCACCCCTGTCCCCCGTACACTGCGAAAGAAGCTGGGCACCCTCTTTGCCTTCAAGAAGCCTCGTTCAACACGGGGGCCACGGCCTGATCTAGAGACCAGCCCTGGGGCAGCTGCCCGCACTCGAAAAACCACACTTGGGGACCTACTGCGGCCACCGGCCCGCCCTGGCCGTGGGGAGGAGTCTGGTGGGGCGGAAGGGGGCACCGGCAGCCCTGACCCTGCTCGCAGGAGCCGGCCTCGCTACACTCGGGAAAGCAAGGCCTACTCCATGATACTGCTGCCTGCCGAGGAGGAGGAGGCAGCACTGGGTGCCAGACCTGACAAGGTGAGGCCTGGTGGCAGGGGCGAGGGCTCTGCTGGAACTGAGGGCACTGGGCTCTCTCCCCACTCTGGCATCTCTGACCCCAGAGGCGGCCTCTGGAGCGAGGAGACACAGAACTGACCCCATCCTTTGAACAGAGGGTACAAGTGATGCTGCAGAGGATTGGCGTGAGCAGAGGCAGCGGGAGTGCCGAAGGGAAGAGGAAACAAGTGAGTTTGGGGAGGACACAAGTGTGAAGTGAGGGGGCCGGTGCCATGTGGCTGTGGGTGACGTATGTGACCAGGAGGAGATTCATGACACAGGTCTGTTCCACCCCCTCCTTCTCAAAATAGTGAACCATTCTTCCCTCTTGGCTTTGGCCCTGGCCCAGGCCACTGCTATCTCCTCGTTGGAGGTGTGACAGTCCTTTCTCTGCAGATCTAACAGCAATCTGACCTTGTTACCTACATTTGTAACAGCAAGTCATCTAGGGGCTTCCTCTAGAGCCTCTGCCCTGACTCCTAACTCTGCCTCAAGGGCCTGTGGGGTCTCAGCCCTGGTCACTGCTTTTCTCACTGCTCTCCACCCCTGGTTGCGCCTCCCGAACCAGCTCATCACCACCCATGGGTTGGTTATACAGGCTCCTCTCCATCCATCCCTGCGTTTCCCTGCAACCCTTCCCTGACTCTTTCTCATCACTATCTGGCTTACGCCACTCTGATCAGTCCCTAATAAGAACTACATTATAGAAAGTGAATCAGAGAATTGAGAAATCACATTGTGTGTGTCTGTGTTCCACCATCCCAGACTTTGAACTCTAAGGCCAGGACTGAGTTTGCATGTTGCCCACATTTATTTTTTTAAATATATTTTATTGGTATTTTTACAGAGAGGAAGGGAGAGGGATAGTTAGAAACATTGATGAGAGAGAAACATCGATCAGCTGCCTCCTGCACACTCCCTACTGGGGATGTGCCCACAACCAAGGTACATGCCCATGACTGGAATCGAACCTGGGACCCTGGAGTCCACAGGCCGATGCTCTATTCACTGAGCCAAACCGGTCAGGGCACGTTGCTCACATTTAGTGGTAGTTATAAGAACAAGGCTAGGGTAAGGGTGGTGCGCAGCTGAGCCTGACTTCCCTATTTCCTACAGAGCAAAGATGGAGAGATCAAGAAAGCTGGCTCAGATGGTGAGATCCTGGGCTAGGGCAGTTCATTTTGGGGGAGGGGGATGTTCTGGGAGCGGGGTGGGGAAGCCATGCTTTCCTTCTCCTCACCCCCAAGGCCTAGTGCCTGAGCTCCCCCGACCTACTCTGCAGGGGACATTATGGACAGTTCCTCGGAGGCCCCTCCCATCTCTATCAAGTCCCGCACCCACTCCGTGTCTGCTGGTGAGTGAGGGCCACTGTGTGTGGTGGGGGAATATGCAGGTCAAGCTCACTTCCAATGCCTGGCCTAGGTCTTGGCTGAAACTCTTCTCCTTGCAGACCCCTCATGCAGACCTGGGCCAGGGGGCCAGGGGCCTGAGTCCACCACCTGGAAGACACTGGGGCAGCAGCTGAATGCAGAGCTTAGGAGCCGTGGTTGGGGCCCACACGATGGTCCAGGACCCCCTTCCCCTTGTCTCAGCCCACGAAAAGCCAGTCCCTCCCCAGACAGCCTGGGCCTCCCAGAGGATCCTTGCTTGGGCCCCAGAAATGAAGGTAAATGGGCATGCTAGCCCCCACCCCAATACTGGACTGGGGGCTGGAGGAGTCCCTGCTGGGAATTTAGCTCCTCTGGGGACCCTGAAGGTAGGGGACAAGGGCTGGAGTGGTGGCAGCTGCTGGGACCATACCCTGATACCCTGGCCTCCCCCAGATGGCCAGCTGAGGCCGAGGCCTCTCTCGGCAGGGCGACGAGCCGTGTCTGTGCATGAGGACCAGCTCCAGGCCCCTGTTGGTGAGGGGACACGTCCATGTGTGCTTGAGTGCAGGAGGGTGGGCTCGGGTCTCCCTTCATGGCTCTGGTGAGGGGGCCACTGGTGGTGTGAGGGGTAAGAAACCAGGGAGCAAGGGTCTGACAGCCCTTCCAATGAGCCCAGGTTCCAACTCCAAAAGAGCAACCTCTGCTCGGGTAGGACACAGGGGAAGGGGAGGCTCTGAAGCAACGTGTGCGTGCATGTGTGTGCACTGGCGCACACTGGGGGCGGAGGGGTGGGGGCAAGCAGCAAGCACTTAACCTGCCACAGCCTTTCTGTGTCCCCCAGAACGGCCTTTAAGGCTGCAGCGGTCCCCTGTCCTCAAGCGAAGGCCAAAGCTTGAGGCACCCCCGTCACCAAGCCTAGGTAAGAAGGGGCTGGGCTGGTTGTTAGGGTGGCAGGACCGCTCAGTCCAATTCTGACCTTCCTCTCTCCCCACCTCCTTTTGCAGGATCTGGCCTTGAAGCTGAGCCTCTGCTCCCACAGTATACAGACCCCTCCAGCCCTGAGCGGAGTCCACCCTCCCCAACCACAGACCAAAGAGGCGGCCCCAACCCCTGATCCTCTCCTTTCCTGCCGCATGAGATTATTTTATTAAAAAACTCAAAGCAGAGTGTGGAGCACTGTTTGTCCACCGAGAGGCATAGACTTATATGCACACCTTCTCCTACGTGGTCACATGACCCCTCACACCTGGGTTTGCTCAGATTCCGGCTGTGGCTCCATCAGAAAATGCAAGGCCCAGGCCAGGAGCTGGGGAGGGAGCCTGGGAAGAGAACCAAGGCTGTAGGTGAGGGTTTGGGGAACCTTTTTTCTACCAAGGCCACTAGGATATTTATAACATTCTCAGGCCTTACAAAATTATAAACCTAAAAACTAGCCTGCTATAATTGGGCAGACATTTACTTAATTCAACCCTAAGGCCTTGGCAGGGCCAGACCAAATGATTTTGAGGCTCTTATACGGCCCTTGGGCCGCACATTTCCCACACAGAGCAGGACAGCCCCAGGCACTCACCTGGCAGCTTGGACCTGGGCACAGAGGGACGTGCAGGGTGGAGCGTACTTATATTGGAAGGCGGAACCATCACGATGCTTCTTTGGTGGGTCCTGAAGAGGATGTGGTGTCTGGAGAGGGGCCAAGAAGGACCCCTAACCCCATCCAAGGCTACCCCAGCTCTCCTCCCAGCTCTATCCAAGGCTCACCCCATTCTACCCTCCAGGTGTAGGGGGACTATGCTCACCCAGACAGGACTGGACTCCAGGACTCCCTCGGTGGTTCTTACCCTTGGAGAATGCTGCCAGTTCTTGGGGGGCAACCCTAGTTCCTTGAACTCCAGTCTAGGTTTCTGGGGCTGGGGCCTGGTCACATCAGCCTGATGTGAATTGGGGATGTGACCAAGAGGTGACAGACTTGGGGTACAATTCAGGGGTGGGGAGTTGGTTATATGGCTGGGATGTGGGGTGCTAGGGGGCAGGGGTTGGGGGGTTGAGCAGATGGCTGGCTGGGACTGGGAGCTGCCCTTCTGCCCTGTGTCTGGAGCAGCCAAGGACAGGGCAGGCAGAAGGCTGACGCTGGCACTGCTTTCCTGTGATGACATGTGGCTGCATGAGGCAGGGTTTCCTGGGGAAGAAGGGACTCACTGTGAGCATAGCCCTCTTAGCTCAGACCAGCTGAGTGACCTATGACCTAAGGCAGGTCTCCAGGGGCCATGTTCGTCCCTTTCATAGCTTCCTGCATAGCCTGGGACTGTTTTGGCTTTAGCACCACCTTACCTGAGGAACTGAGTGAGGAAAGTGAGGAGGACAGGGTCAGCGACAGGTCCTGAAGAGCGGGGTCTGGTGGGGGCAGCTCAGGGCCTAGGGGAAAGGCTTATCGGCACTGTGGGGACCAGACCCCCAGACAGTCCCCTCTGGACCTCTCCAGTCCTTACCCTGTGTCCTCTGACCTGCGCCCAGAGAGTTCAGGACTTGCTGGTCATCTTCAGAGATGTGTAGCCATAGGCTGGGGACAGTGTACACAGCTTCTCCCTGTGGAAGTGAACTGTCAGCCGGGCCCGTCCCAAACCCCTCACCCTGACATTTCCCAAGGGAGGCCCTAGACTGACCATGGCCAAGTGGCTGGAGGTGGCCCAGCGGGTGAGCGGGGGTGCTGTGCAAGGGCCTGACAGCATCAGACAGCTCTCAGCCAGGCGCACTAGTGCCCCCTGATGCGCCTCTTCTTCCTGCACCTCCTCCAGAAGTTGGGTCAGTGAAAGGCCTAGAGTCAGGGGGGCAGGGTTGGGCTGAAATCTGAAGAAAAGGGTAGGGTGGGTGGGGAAGAGGCTTACTAAAGGAGCAGGAGGTGATAGCTGGAAAGTCACTCTACAGAGAGTTAGGATCAACCCCCACTTACCTGCATTGGAGGAGGCCGACTCGGAAAGGTGCTCCCTAAAGAAACAGAGGGGACAGGCCTGAGGAACGACCCCGAGGCCTGTCAACACGTTTGCCATCATCTGACCAAGTCGCACCTGGCCCAAACCCAATTCTAGACTCACTCGAGGCAGTCCTTGAGCTTCTTCTGCACATCTGGGTCCTGGTTGCTAGGAAAAAGATGGTGACAGGCAGTCAATGTTACTAAGGACCCACGCCCTCTCACCCAAAAGGCCTGGGCCAGATGTGGGGGAACATTTGGCCCGCGGGCCATATAAGACCAACAAAATCATTTGATCCGGCTCTATCAAGGCACTAGCGGTGAGTTAATTAAATGTCCGATCAAGCCCTAACCGGTTTGGCTCGGTGGATAGAGCGTTGGCCTGCAGACTGAAGGGTCCAGGTTCAATTCCGGTCAAGGGCATGTACCTGGGCTGTGGGCACATCCCTAGCAGGGGGTGTGCAGGAGGCAGCTGATTGATGTTTCTCTCTCATCGATGTTTCTAACTCTCTATCCCTCTCCCTTCCTCTCTGTAAAAAATCAATAAAATATATTTTTAAAAAAAATGTCCGATCAAAAAAAAAATGAGGAAAAAAAATAAATGTCCGATCAAATATAGCAGGCTAATTTTTAAGTTGATAATTGTGTATGGACTTCGAATGATGTTATAAATATCCAAATGGCCCTTGGCAGAAAAAAGGTTCTCCACCCCTGGCCTATGCCCACGCCAGCCAGGCCTGGATAGGGAGAACAGTTGGAGGGAGGAGGCATCACTTACCAACCAATCACCCAATCCCGGGGCTGCTCCGTGGGCATTAGGCTGAAGCGGTGCACCTGCAGGTAGAACTCCGCGGGCTGGAGGGGTGAAGTCAGGGATGGGTCTCAGGGGCTGTCACGGAGTCAGGCCAAGTAACCCGCCCAAGCCAGCCTCACCACTCACCGCGCTGCCCTCTGCCACTTGGACTCGGACCTCGCAGTCTTGCAGCAGCAGCAGCCGGCCTTCAGCCCCTCGGAAACCAAACTCCTTCTCTTCCCTGCGGAGAGCTCGACCCTCACAGCCCAGCCGGCGGAAACTGAGTCCCGCCCGCCTGGGGCCCGCCCACCTCGAGCCCAGCTGGGTTCAAATCCTCTACGATCCTGTGGCGCCTTTCTCACCAGTCCGCGGCGTCCAGAGTTTCCCGCGTCACCAGGCACCGGACGCTGTGGGTCCCGTCAGACACAAGCAGCGCGGCCCCGACATCAGACGTGTCAGGGGCGCAGGACGGGCCTGGGGCCTCGGCTTCTGCCTCCTGCAGCACCTGACGACAGCAACGGGCGTCAATTCCACCGCCCTGGGGACCCACCCCAGTCTCCGGGCCCTAAGGGGTTGGGGGGCTCACTTGAAGCAGCTGCCCGGCCCGTGGGCTTGAGAGTCTCTCTAAGCCCAGGACCAGCTCTCGAATCCACGGCCGCAGGACCACGCTCCTCAACCTTGCCATCCCCGCAACTGAATTTAACGCAGCACCGCTCACCCAGGTTTCCCGCGGGCGCCCGGTCCCGCCTTTCAACGGAAGAGGAAATGCATGACTGCTGGGCGGGACCTGAGATCGAGGCCCCGCCCATGTGCGTTCTCGCGCGTGCGCACGAGCGCATACTGTTAGGGAATTTGCGCGCAGATTCCTGTCGGCTCGACTAGATCCTTCCCTGCTTGTTACCTCTCTGAGCAACAAATCCGGAGACTCTTCTGGGCCGTCCGTCAAAACTCCTTTGGCACCGGGCAGGAAGGGGTCCAGGGCTGTTTCAGATGGAGAGGGAGGAACCTGGGGCCTGAGGCTGCGGCCTAGGGTAGCCGAGGGAATTGGCTCGAAGCCACTTCAACGCCGTGTGACCCCGAAGGACTCCGTAAATATTATAACTCAGTTTCTCATCTACAAAAGTCGTCTTGTAAGGCCAGTAGAAATATGACACACAGCACTCAATAAGTATCACTCTCCCCTCGATTGGCCGAGCACCGCCCCCCGCCGCTCCCGCTCCGGAACGCGGGACGAACAGTAGCGTCATGACGTAAGAGCACACGAAGACGTCTCTATCCCCACCACCGTTGCCTAGGAAACGTGGACTCCGCGTTCCACGCTCCGTAGCTGGCCCCTTGACGTCACGATCTGGATGGGAGGGCGGGGCGAGTGCTACCGGCGCGCAGTCCGGACAGCATCGTGGAGGTGAAGAGCAAAGTAAGGGCCCCTCCAGTCCTAGCTCCGGCTTCGGCTCTAGGTGCTTCCAATTCCCTCATTCTCCCCTCCCTGGCTCCTTGGTCCCACCACCTTTTTCTCTCCACTATCCTTCACATCCCATTCTCTGGCTTTTCTCGCTTTCCCGCGCCCATCCTTCTTCCTTTCCCGGCCGGCCTCTGGAGTCCCTCTGTGGCCTGGGTTACCTGGAGGGCGGGGAGAAGACCTTGGACAGCGTCCCTCGTACGGGAGCTGAGTTCTGGGTACAAGGCTGCAGCTGTTGCCGCAGCCCGCTTTCTCACCCCTGCCACCCCTCGACCTGTGGTGAGAAAGGACGCAGGCTCCCTCCTGACCCCTCCTCTCCCCCCACTCCCTGCCTCTAGTTTGACGCCGAGTTCCGACGCTTCGCGCTGCCCCGCGCTTCTGTGAGCGGCTTCCAGGAGTTCTCGAGGTTACTGCGTGCGGTGCATCAGATCCCGGGGCTGGACGTGCTGCTTGGCTATACAGATGCTCACGGCGACCTATTGCCTCTCACCAACGATGACAGCCTGCACCGGGCCCTGACCAGTGGGCCCCAGCCGCTGCGCCTGCTAGTGCAGAAGCGGGGTGAGGAGAATGGGGTACAGTGGGCAGCCTCTGTGGGATAGGGTGACAGGGCAGGTCTACAGGGATTAAGTTCATGCCCAGGGTGTTCAGGCTTCACCCTCAGCAACCCCTGCCCTTGGGCTGACCTCCAGGTTGGTAGGAAATAGAGTGTCCCCTGCCCCCTGTCTGGGCCTGATGGGAAAGGGAGAACAGGGTCTCTGATCTCAGTGTCTCCCTCTCCAGAAGCTGACTCCAGCGTCCTAGCCTTTGCCTCCAACTCTCTGCAGCGGCGTAAGAAGGGGCTCCTACTTCGGCCAGTGGCACCTCTGCGCACCCGGCCACCCCTCCTAATCAGCCTGCCCCAAGACTTCCGCCAGGTTTCTTCAGTCATAGATGTGGACCTACTGCCCGAGACCCACCGGCGTGTGCGGCTGCACAAGCACGGTTCTGACCGCCCACTAGGTTTCTACATCCGAGATGGCATGAGCGTTCGCGTAGCGCCCCAGGGCCTGGAACGTGTCCCAGGCATCTTCATCTCTCGCCTGGTACGAGGGGGCCTGGCCGAGAGTACAGGGCTGCTGGCAGTCAGTGATGAGATCCTCGAAGTCAATGGCATTGAGGTGGCTGGGAAGACCCTGGACCAAGTGACAGATATGATGGTTGCCAACAGCCACAACCTCATCGTCACTGTCAAGCCAGCCAATCAGCGCAATAATGTGGTGCGTGGGGCATCTGGGCGTCTGACAGGGCCTCCCTCTGTTGGGCCTGGGCCTACTGAGCCGGAAAGCGATGATGACAGTAGTGATCTGGTCGTTGAGAACCGCCAGCCTCCCTGTTCCAATGGGCTGTCTCAGGGCTCTCCATGCTGGGACCTGCACCCAGGCCACCTACGTCCAAGTGCCCGCAGCTCTCTGCCATCCCTGGACAATCAGGAGCAAGCCAGCTCTGGCTGGGGGAGTAGCATGCGAGGAGATGGTAGTGGCTTCAGCCTCTGACACATGAGGAAGCAGTCCTTGCCACTCCAAGGGGACTCCTCAGTGGGGTTTTAGCTTGTTCATAGGGCCCTCTCAGTATGGGGAACATTAAAGGTTTTCTACAAATGCAGTGACGGTCTTTCTGTGTCCCAGCCCCAGCCTCCTCCCTGATCCCACAGCCTTGCCTTCTGCCCTGGACATGAGGCCGGAGTGGTAAGGGCAGCAGAGAGACCTTCCATGGTTACTATTTACAGGGTAAGAAAAGCTCTTAAGGAAACCAACCCCACTGTGTACAAAAAAATTTAATTTTGACAAAGGGGTAAAGAGGCTGGGCTAGGATGGCCCTTCTGCAGCCACCAGTGGCTAGGCAAAGTGCTCTGGGGATACCCCCCCACCCGCCAACACTACTCCTGTCCTTTGCAACCATGCAGTGATCCTCAGCTAGGACCCGTCACTACCCCGGTAATAGGGCTCAAGCATCCATCTTCACGAAGACCTTGGGGCGGGAAAAGATCTTGATGGCCTCCTCTACCTGTACCAGCTTCCGGTCCAGCTCAGCACGGTGGCCCTGGGCCCTCAGTGAGTCTGCCCCGGCAGGCAGCAGCACCAGCTCACGCAGCAGCTGGCTCTGGCCTACAGGGGCCCAGAAACAGTATTAGGCAGGAGTGCAAGGTCCTCAGTGCGTTCCTCATCCAGTCCACGTACTCACTCACTCTGGAGCAGAATGCCCACATACTCACTCTGGAGCAGATTGCTCAGTGTCTCCAGACGCTGGTTCTCAGGCATACGTGTGTGACCAGGGGGCATGGCAGGGTCCGGCTGGCTAAGCTGGCGGGCCTCAGCCTCCCGACGCCACAAATCCCTACGCTCCAACAAGCTGTGGATGCACAGATTCAGGTTGATAATCCCAGGGCAGATGTTGGCTCCCACCTGCCACAGGCATCCCTCACCCTGGGTGTCGGAAAGTGGGACCTACTAATGGGGCACGTGGCCCTTCTGTGTGGCGTTGTAGTGCTCCTGGGCTTGCCGTTGCTGTTCCAGCACCTGTGCCAGGACCTGCAGCGAGTGGGAATGCCGCCTGGGGGCCCTCTTGGCAGTGCGGGCATTGTGGCTAATGAAGTCCACACCTACGCCTGGCTCCTGCAGGACATGGCAAACGTGATGGGCAAACAGCACTGAGTTGTTCCCCTGGAACCCCCAGGATCCCTGTCCCACCTTCTATCCCACACATACTCTCACCTTGGCATTGGAATCTGGTGGGGTGAGCTGGGGACTGGGGACACGGGGTGGTGGGAGCCCAGGACCGCAGCGAGAGTGAGCCCGCAGGAAGTGCACGGTCTCTGTCCCAGAGGCAGGGCCAGGCTCCTGGAGGGCAGGGCATAGAAAAGGGATCAGTCAGGCTGTGGCCAAGGTCTCAAAACCGAGCCTCTATCCCTGGCCCTCTGGGCCTCCTCCCTCTTAAAAAAGCACTTCTCATCAGCCTTTAAACATGTGTGTCTCTCACATCCGTAACAACAAACCACCCCTCCTACCTCAGTTCTGGCTCCAGCTACCATTCTTTTCTCTCCTTCCTAGCCAAGCTTCCTGGATATGTCCCCACCAAGGTCATTGGCAGCTGGCTTCCAAGCCCGCAAATGCAGGGTCATTTCCCTGGTCTCATCGTCCTCAGCCTCAATAACTCCTAGGTCTCACTCCTGAAATCCAGACCTGATTCTCCATCTGCTGCTTCCTGGACACACTCCCACCCCCTGGGAGTTTCACAAATGCTCCAGCTTCAACACATCCCCAGATAACCTTATCGTCTTTTCTCTCAATCCTGATCTTCCCCTTGATAGAGAAATGGTGCCACCACCTACTCAAGACAGAATCCCACCACCCTACCCGTCCCTGACCTTCCCACTGCCCGTAGAAATAAAGGTTGAAAAGTGGGTTATGGGGCTCTTCATATGGGCCCAGCTGATCTCTTAGCCTATCCTCATGCTCTTATCCCCTCACAGTAAAGTGTACACAGCATCCCCACTGCCCACACTTCCTCTAATCTCAGGACTTCCACCTGTGAGGTTTCACCTATAAAGAATGTTCTCTTCCATTCGCCCCTTGCCTAATTCCTACCTGCCCCTGAGGATTTTCCTCCCTCCCCATAACTCAGATCAGGGTATAAGTGGCTCCTCTCAAATAAGATGGACAGTGCTTCTGGCTCCCTGGGCAGTTACCTGCAGCTGGGCCTTGACTCGGGACTCAACTTTCTCATACTTGGGCGAGCGCCAAAGAGCCTTCAGGGGCCTGGGCTGGCCCTGCTCCCGGCTGCGCTCCTGCTCACGGAAGCGCCTCTGGATCTCCTTGATCCTCCTCAGATTCTCCTTCTCATGGTCTTTAGGGTCCTTCCCTGGGAAAAAGATGTTACCAGGCTCTGCCCTGCATATAGCCCATGAAATCCAACTCATACCAGTTCACACACAGGTCTGACCGCTCTAAGTTAGGCCCTATGCAGGTACTCCATCCCCCTCACCATCTGATTTCCTTCCTGACATGGCAATTTATCTTCTATCCCTGATTATTTTCTACATTTTTAGTGTGAAGTATACCATTAATCATCTTACATATAATATTCGTCTTACTTGTCTATTGTCTCCCACTTTGACTCAATAATGGCCCATGCTTGTCTTCAACCTGTTTTCATAGCACCTACTGGGCCTGGCAAACAGCAGGCACTAAGCAACAAACATTTAACTGATATGTCAATTCCTGAAGCTGAACTACCTCATTCAGCCCTCTTCGGTGAGAAGGAAAAGGTAGTGCATTTCTCCCTCCTTTTACAGTCGGGGAAATGGACACTCAGAGAGGCAAAGCCTGAACCCAGGTCAGGGCAGGAGAAGCATCGGTTTTTGACCTCAGGTTTTGCTATCAGATTTGCCTCGCTGCCCGTTCTGCCCAGAACTTACTCTTGGGACAGGCCCGTGGGCCTAGGGAAATACCCCCAAGCTGCAGCAGCATGCCCCCCACGCCGCATCGGCCACGCTCCAGGATCGCTTTGCCCTCAGGACGGATGCGGGGGCCGCGGGGCGGGGTGGCGTCCGGGTCCGGGTCCGAGGTCAGCAGGTCCAACTTCAGCGCGTTTCCCTCAAGGCGCCCTTGGGCTGAGGGGTCCGACAAAGCGGAGTGCGGGGTTCAGTGGTGGAGCCAGACCCGGGCTTAGCTCGGGCCTTCCTGGGCTGCGACACCCCCCAACTCACCGGAGGAGGGCCGCCGGTAGTAGTCAGGACAGAGCGTGGGGTCTGGGGGGATGGGCCCCGAAATGCGGGACGGGCCCTCGCACATGCCGCCGTCGTAGCCCTGTAACGGTGCACAGGCTGCGTCCCTGGGGTCCCGACCTCCGTCCTCAGCCCCGTGCCATGCCCT